CAACGTGGATGGCACCACCTGTTCGAGGATGTCATGGTCATGGGCCATGCCATCCGCGTTGGCCCATGATGCTATGATGCTTTCAGGGAGTGTAGACTTTTAAGAACAGACAGACGTAGAGCTGCGGGTCGATGTTTCAATGTTTGATGAAAAACATATCCTTGCATGAAATGTTTTAAGGTTTAAGAACGATGGGAGAACATCATAACTTTAAACATAACCCTGCAATGGTTGGGAGATGCCTCATGTTGTCTTCTTCCTTGTCGTCCTAGTCAAGGAATGCCAAACTGGAAGAACTTATTTGTTCATGAACAAAGAGCAGAATCGTCTCCTCTCAAGACTCCGACTCACGCGCAAAATGCGCTTGCGTATCGTTGGTCGCCTCGCGCACTTCTAGCTGGCGAGGCTCAGCGGATACTTGCAGGATGTTTCCGATGATGTGGATGGGTCCTTGGAGGATGCCAACCATTTGACCGAGAAGCGCCTTGGGCGCCCACAGGTGGTTTCAACCGACTGATGCGAGGAGCTTGCGCTCGAGGTGTCTAGCCTTCCTGCTGATGGGTCAGTGCTTCCGTTGATTCTGTGTGTCTTAGTTCTGGTTGGCTTCAAGAGGAGTCTTTCATTGGTGTTGCAGGTGCACAGCAGTTGTATTTTTGAATACTTTAGATGTGTTCTCCGGTTTGGCCTGAAGTTCATGCTGGGGTCGAATGGCTTGTTGAACAGTTTTCTGAACCTTGATAGATCGCAAGACTTTGGGATGGTGACTCTATCCTTCGAGCTGTTGTTTGTCTCTTGTTTGTCTCTTAAGTGAATACACCATAGACTTTGGCAATCGGATTGCCCTTTCGCGATGCACATTTCAGGTGAAAGGATCTCCCCAAGGAAACAATTCAGTTCTTGAATCTTGAACCAGTGATACAGATATACAGAACATTGTCTATCAAACATATAACAGTGATACACAACATCACATATACACTGATATCAAATATATACACTGTATACACAAACTATAGTCGACTCACATATACATCGGCTCTTCTCATGAATCCTATGGAGAAGCACGCTTCCTAAGGTGTAATGAGCTGTCCAATGCTTATGATGCCGCACTGAACCGTGAACAGTCTTCACAGCGAAGAGTGGCCAAGGAGGGGAGGGACGACGGCGAAGCGAACATCGGTTTACCGGTTGACGCGGTGTAGACCGTTTGAGAAAGAGGGTTTCGTTGCAAGTGGTTTCGTGACCTGCGAAGTGACCCAGTTTCTTGCAATCCCTCGGTTTAGACCGCTTGAAGTCAGTTCCCACGACCGTTTGAGGAAGTTTAGACTGTTTGGTTGGCCCAGGTGGTAAGTGACTTCATCCACTGTACTTATCCTATCCCCTTGTCCTCACATTGTAGGGAATGGATGTCCAGAGAAATCACAGGATCCTGTACGTAATATGATAGTCCTTTGATCAGAATATGTTTGAATCCATGTTGTCATGAATCCAGGATCCAGACATCTTTTGAATATCCAGACATCCGGGGCCCATCCGGATTTAAACATGGATCGGATCATGGGTGTCCTCGGTGAAACGTTTCGGCCTCTCGGTCACCCATCTCCGGGTTCATCACCTCCGCGGCTCGGCTTTTCAGCGGTTAGCTTCCCCGCAGCGCAGGAAGCTGAGAGGATCGAACAGGTGAAGCAGAACCGCCATGCGCAGAAGTGCCTCGGTGGGTGCGAACCCGGACCGGACTGGTGGAGAGGTTGGCCTGGATGGAGAGAGACGGAAGGTGAAGAGGGTCGGGCCGTGGAGAGAGACGCCCTGACGGTCGGGGCGCCCCACAGTTCTGCCCGGAGATTGGGACGAAGAGGACCAGTGAGCTTGATACGCGAGCTTGTTCTCCATGTCAATTGGGAGTGACTGCGAGGAGTGAACAATGTGAGGTTTTTGTGCATTCGGAGGTTTGTTCGCGTGCAAAGAAAGGGGTGGCGGGAAAGTTTGCCCGTCAGGTCTTCATCGAATGGACCCATATTTACAGGTTTGATCAGTTGTATCCAGACCAAGCAATAGGTAGGGCCAGGGTTGTAGCTCCACCTTCTCATCCGCTTTAGACCACACGGGGTCTGACTTTCTCCAAGGCTCGGCTCCGGAAAGGACGACCTTGCAAAAGCCTCGGGGACGACCTCACCGTCGCCGTCGCCAGGCTGAACGACATTTTGTTCGTCCTCACGACTGCCACGGCTCTCTTCGCCCCGGTGCAGTTCCTGGCAGGACGGGGAACCGCGGAAAAACAACGTGCACCTCAGCAACGAAATGCCCACAGCAACGAGTGTTGCCACAGGAAGTGAGAGCGGGGTTGCAGAAAAGGTCCAAAAGCATTGGAAAGCAAGAAAGCCAGCCAGTAGCGCTGGGTAAATAAACATGTCATATTGCAATTGAAGTATAGCAATTGCTGTATTGTTTTCTTGTTCATCAGTATCATGAGACATCATGAGTATGTTTTCAGCTGAAAGCTTGGTTTCAGAGCAGAGTGTTAGACGAGTAAGACTGAGTCACCTTCTGACACTGGAAGCAAATCACAGAGTCACCCGTTTGCCTCACTTCGGGTGCAGAGTGTGAAGTCGGTCTCGGTGGTGTTCTTCAGCTTTTTCCCTGCGAGTAACAGCGAAAACACGTCTGCGGGATGTCCATGGATGTCCATGTCGCGCCTGTCCATAGACTCTCCACTCTCCCAAGGAGTCTATGGCATGAACTTTGCCATTGATGGGGATCCTACTATGCCCGAGCTGAAATGGGAGTATGGAGACTTGGGAGCTGCAAAACCCAATAGACAGCCGATGTGTCAAGTTTCCAGAAAAGGACGCTGTCAGGTCCCCCACAATACACGTTTCTGGAAATACATTGAATTATAAACATGCGTTGTATTGCATTGTATTATCACTATATACAGCTACGAGAGAGTAATGTTTTTATATACTCATGACATTAGCATATTTCAATAAGACCTGTAACAATCATATAATCCTATGTATGGGTTCAAAAATGCTGAACTCCACCTATTTTGGGGGACCTGGTGGCGTCCCACTCTCCAAGTTTCAATATTCTCGCGAGAACAAACAAAAGAACACATGTTCTCGCTATACATGTTCAGGTGGTTTGGCTGGTTTGAGTATACATGTTGTATTGTGTCCTGCTGGCCAAAAGTGTGTACTAGTAGCTGCCACATCTTCGCTCAGCATTTGCCATCGGCGGCGACCGCGGTGGTGTTCACGTTCATCAACTCACGAGGCATTTCCAACGGTGACAGATTCCAACTCAGGATACTTGTATTTCTGGATCGTGGTGATTGCCTACCTCATTGCCAGTGGAACCCTGGCGGTGCGGCTCTTTCGGACATTGAGGCGAGTTTCGGACGGCGAGTTGCAGGAGTGAATCGGTAATTACTGAGTGCACTTGGCTCTGAGAAGTCGATCATCAGTTTCCAGAAGTCTCTACGTTCAACACGTCTCGGGGGGACCCTTTTTCGTTCTTTTTGTTTCTATCCGGATGCAGCTTTTTCTTCACAATCCTGGTTTGGAGCCAAGGGATCCCAGCGGCACATCCCAAAGTGCTTTGGTCCTTGCAATCGGCGAAATCGATGGTCCTATTGAAAGAGTAGATCCCATCAAATCCATTCAAATCCTGGTTGAAATCCCATTGTGGTCATTGTATTACTTAAGCTCTCTGAAGTCCTACTGTTTATTGCTATGAATAACACGCTTTGAAGGGGAACGCATTCATTGTTCCCTGGTTCTCAGTTGACATGTGGCGGGTCCAGGATCAAGCAAGATGCTGGCCACTTGCTCAGGACGGGGTGCTTTAATTAAGAGGAAAGAGCGCTGCAGCGTCTATCATTCCTCGTGGAATTGTAATTATAATAGTGGGACATAGAACAGGTAATAAGGTTGGATTTGTCCATATAACCCGTTCCTGCAAACATAATGTCGCATGTCATTTCCGTAACATGTACATTGTATCAGAAACTGTGGCATTTCATGACAGAACCAGCAGTGACCAGCGACATGAAAGTGGCGACCCGAGCTCTCCCTGAGGAACCGGCAAGGTACATTCTCCACCCTGGCTGCGCAGAGCTTACTGTTTCTGAATGTTCATTGTTGTGCAGAATGCTGCGCAGTAAGGAGCATGGAGCATTCAGAGCATTCATACTGCACTAAGGGCGACAGTCCGCGCATATTGGAAGGTGCAACGCCTGTACAGGATGATGGAAGTTCCAGCCCTTACCATCCTTTAACTGGATAAATTCCAAACCCCGAGTCCCGTGGCACCCCCCACCCATTGCTGCATCGCCCTGCGTCCCGCGACCGACCGCCAGCGACCGCCCCCGAGTCCCGTGATCAGAGCGACCCGACCGCAGCGAGACTCCGCTCAGTGGGGCTTCCGAGTCGACTCGGCTCAAGAAGGGACCGAAGCAAATGACGTGAAAATGGAGCTGGGGGCGAGTGAGATCGAGTGAGGCTTGTGACCATCCCTAGGGTATCGCGGAGCTCCCAGACAGGGGACTGCGGGGACTGGTCAGCCCAGTCAGGGTTCCCCAGTCAACCACCCCTGGACTGATGGGCATATATGGCAGTCACTATGGAGTGAGCTTGTGAAGTCTGACATTTCACCAACACAGTCACGGTCGGGGCTCACCAACACAGTCACACCATGACCACGTGGATTCGATTCGAAGGGTTGTTGTGGTTTCATTCGACTATATCGATGGCAGGTTGGGACTGTCTCCAAACGTTAACACACTTACACACGACTTTACATAAATAAATATTGTACAGTTCCTTCATGGGATCCTAAGAAAGTCTCAGTTCCTGATTTGGGATCCCCAGCTCCTCAGTGATATTCTGCCCTGTCTCTTGTAAACCGCCTGGCTGCCACTCGCCGCGGAAGACTTCCGCTCCGTCACCAACTCCGCCGGAACTCCGCTCCTGTTTGTGCTCTCCGTACTTGGGTAGTGGCAGGTGTGTCGGACCTGGAGCCTTGGTTAGCCAGCTTGGCCGCTGAGCTGGTGGGACGCCTGCGGGAGGAGCTGGGAGGGATCTCGCTGTCGAGCGCTCAAATCCAGTGACCGGCCCTTTTTGGGCCTAGCAGGGTGAAATACGGATGTGATATGATAAGCAGATATGAACAGCAGTGGTGAACGGTTTTTCAATTGTTCGACCTCTTTTGGGAGCCCCGCATAGCCCCGACATCCCAGGCACTGGGGTGTTTTCTCAACTCTTGGAGGTGGGGGTTGGATCTAAACGCGTTGTGTAACAAGCAGCGGGGGGAGACTGCAAGACTGGCGGACTGGACCAGTCGACGACACCCAGTTCACATCGAACTGAGGGATGGTTCATGATGTGGACTCTTTCGATCTATTGTAGACTCTTGATGAATAATCCTCCCATATTGAAGAGGTGTTTCAGTCCAAATGGAGTGGGTTTATGAATCAAGAGTCTACATGAATGTTGGATGCTGATTAGTAACAGGGCCCTCTATAATGCTAAAATTTTGAAAAATAGATATTGACACCATGTTTGTTTTAAGGGTTCTCTATTGTGCTAAATTTGTTGGGGAACCTAATTGTTTATTACAATCTGAAAAATGAGAGTTTCGAACCCAGCAGAGATCCGCGAATACTACTAAGCCAGTGGCTGGCTTGCTGAGAGTATTATTGGTAATCATAGGTTTCTGTAGTTCTTCAAAACTCACAGCTTCCTAAAGCCATCAATTCCTTAATAGATCCTTTATATAAAGATAGCTCCTAAACAGTTTTTCAAGGCAGTAGACCAGGAAGGCCCCTGAGCCTCAATAGTAAATTTGTTTTAAGGGTTCTCAATTGTGCACAGTTGTTTCATCAGAAAACACTAAATCTTAATACCACTGAGCCAATGGCTGGCTGGCTGAGAACATCATTGGTAATCATAGTTTTCTTTTGTTCTTCAAAACTCGCAGCTTCCCAAAGCCTTCAATTCCTTAATCAAACCTGTATACAAAGTGTGTTCCTAAACAAACTTTAGAGGTAGTAGACCAGGAAGGCTCCTGATCATCAATAGTAAGTTTGTTTTAAGGGTTCTCAGTTGTGCAACGGTTTTTTCATCAGAGGACATATATACAAACAAATGTCAATACTACTAAGCCAGTGGCTGGCTTGCTG